TTTATTTTATTTCTTCTGTGAAGAAAAGAGACAGAGAAAGAGAGAGACAGCACTCCCCATAGGGTATTTATGTCATGGTCTATCCCACACTTCAGCCAGCCCCAGATCACAGGCAGGTGTGTACCCAGTATATTCAGGGAGGTCTCTTGTCATGAACACAGAACCTTACCCTGTGGGTCAGCCTTGCAGAATGTTCCATTTTGTGCCACTATCTAGCTCCACATTACTTTTTTTTTTTCTTACAAAGTCAGCTAAGGTATATAGCCAGGCCAAAGCAGTACCTCTAAGATGTGAAATAAACCCATTAATTTCAATCAGTAACTTATTAAAATGTACTTCTGCTTGTAGATCTGTAGTTCTACACTAGAAACAGTAAAATAGGTAAAACATTTTTTAAATACTTAAGATACAGCTGTATAATTAACTATAAATGTGGACAGAAACATGGTACAAAGTACATATAGGTATCTAGAAATAGAGATATTTTACCCTCGTTTCCTTCAAGAAAAGAAGCATTTGGGAAAACTTACATGATCTACAAATATCCCAAACATGAGCTCACCAAGATGAAGAAATTACTTCAGTTTGCTAACCATGCTGGAAAAACTAGGAGCATATTTATAAAGCCAGAAACACTACACATTTTCACTTTAATAAAACACATTCTAAAGGAATTTTAATATTGTCCAGCCAAATAAAATAAAATATTTTTCTGTCATACTATTTCAGCAAATTAAAATAAGCAAGTAATAGTACATTAACCCAGCCTGAAGATTGAGACACAGAAGTGAAAAGTATCACTGCCAGAACAGTAGACTGAACTGGAATACTCTGCCTGATCATTAACTGTCATTTATCTGTTCCTCTCCACCCCCATTATGACTTACGTACATCCCATGAAATACCACTGTTTAAAAACAAAACACAGTAGGGACCAGCAGTTAGTGTAATGGCTATGTCGCTAGACTCCCACGTAGTTGACTGCAGTTCGCGTCCCGGACCCGGTGGCTTAAAACTCACACCAGGCACGTGTGCGTGTGTGCCCAAGATCTTGAGAGGAGAATGGAGGAGAAGGGATTGTAGCATGGCCATCCCCCCTGGGGGGTGATTTCTCGCTTTCTGTCTCTCTCTGTCTGGTGAGTGCACGCGCCCTATAGCAAAAACCTCTTAAAAACAAACAAACAAACAAACAAAAACTGTAAAATCTGAACTGCCCTTAACAATCAGGAATTTTGAAATAAAATTTCTAAACATTATTTTCATCTATGTCAGTGCCAGTATCAGCCCAAACAAATCTTTCTTCACAATTTATTTTCCCAACTGGCAAAGAAGCTTATTTTCACTCACTAGGATGTCAAAAGTCTTGATTAATAAAATTTGTCAAGTGGGGCCAGCAGGTGGCATGGTGGTTAAGGGCGCTGTACTTCCGCATGGCCAACCACCGTTTGAGTCACAGACCTGGCAGCTTGCTTTCTCACTTTCCCTCTCTCTCTTTCTGTATCACTCAGTCCCTCTCTGGTCAAATTAAAAAAATAAGTAAATAAACACATAAAGTTAGATAAAGTAATTCTTTTCAAAAAAGAAAGTTTGTCAAGCACTTTAAAATACACAGATAAAGGCAGTTATAACAAGGAATTTATAAAAAGAATGTGTTGCCTTCAGAGCCTTCACAACAGTAAAGGTTGTAGTACCTTATCTGGGGTGTGTTAGCTGAGGCTATCTCTCTCACACACACAAACATACATTTCTAAAACAAATTTTACTGCTCTGCATGCCTTTCTCAAAGAAAAACAACTTTCTGCATTAGAGAACAGAGATGTTAACCTATCCTTTGGAAGGATTAGTGTTTAATTTAATCCTACCTAGATAGAGGCCAGGAATCAAGATCTTTCTCACACGGTGATCGGAAAAGAACAGTTTCTATCAGGTTAAGACCAGTAGAGAAATCAATTTAGAGAATTCAGAGGGCACAAGGAAAAGTAGAGATCCCTTGAGGAAAACCTGGAACAGCTTCTGACCTCGGATGATATTGTTATTCATTCCTGGCAACTTAAAAACTATTCAAAATAAATACAATTAAGAAATAATTCCAAATTGTATTTAAGGCACAACACTCAATCAGTATTAAAGTATGAAAGTCTACTTTTTTCTCTTTTAAGTTTGAGTTTTTATCAGAATTAAGCTTCCTAAATTAACACTGGTTTTATCATTCCCATAAATTATGTTTCTAAATATAGGTTTTTTTATTGGGTATGGTTACAAGGTGACCAGTTTCATATTCTTTATTTTTTTCTTTTAACCAGTGACATCTTGGAAGATGTGGCTGTGTTAGAAACAGGGATGCTGGGGGGCCAGCAAGTGGTGTACTGGTTAAGGCACTGGACTCCCACAGAGCCAACTATGGCTCCAGTTCTGGACCTGGTGGCTTGCTTTCTCACTTTCCCTCTCTCTCTCTCTGTGTCTTTCACTGGTCAAATTGAAAAACAATAACAACAATAATAATAATAAATTAAATTAAATAATTATTAAGAAAAGAAATAGAGATGCTGGCATAACAGGAGACTTCAAAAAGTTAATGGATAATGGAATTAAAGTACTTTGGTGCAAAAACTTTGAAATTCATACATAGTTTTTCCATAATATGCATTTTTATGAACTTTTTGAAGACTCCTCATACAGTGTGTTACTGGATGTCCTGCATCTTTTAAGCCCCTACCAAGCATCTGCTAAAATTATTAGTTGTACTTTCTTCCCTTCCCCCATTCCTGCAAAGCTAAATCCTATCCATATTTCAAGGCCCAGCTCAAATACTCTCATAATACTTCCTATTACTAATATTTAATATTACTGAGATTAAAAAAAAGTATTTAGGTGATTGTGGATCTGTTTTTTCTATTTCATTGTGAAACCCTCAGGCACCAAAAACCCTCTCATGTCATGCCTGTAGACATGAGAAAGTTTGAAATACAAAAAAAAAAGGAGCCAGCCAGTGGCACAGTGATAAAACACAACTCACCATATCACCCATCATTAACATTTTTCAGAGTTTTTTTTTTTCTACAGTGTACTAATAAGAGTACTTGACGTGGTGGAGATGATGGCAGAGGTGGTAAAACTCAATGCTCTGCAAGGCAGACCCACACATGAAGGTTGACAATTTGCATGTGGAGACCTGAGTAGACCAGGCATGAATGCACCAATGACCTGAGATAGCTGAAGCTAGGGTGGATCACATCACCAAGACTGTCAAGGGTGCTGTATCTCTGTCTTTCTCGGCCTCTTTCTCTCTCACTCATGGAACAAATAAATAAAGTTTAAAAAATAAATAGACAAATAAAAAATACAATCAGCTCAGAATAACCTTTTTTTGAGAGAGAGAAATTTTCCTATAGGGCATGTGCACTTGCTTGAGAGACAGAGGGACAGAGAGACAGAAAGTGAGAAATCACCCCCCAGAGGGGATGGTCATGCCGCAGTCCCTTCTCCTCCATTCTCCTCTCAGGATTTTGGACACATATGCACACATGCCCAGCATGAGTTTCAAGCCACCAGGTCCTGGACTTGAACAGAGTCCAGCACCCTAACCATTAGGCCACTTGCTGTCCCCTCAAAATAACCTTTAAAAAGGATGAGAAAAGCAACCTAGTTATTCAATCAGTGAGGCTGTTAGAACCACTTGTCTTAAGAGATGAACTCAACTGACTTGACTGAACTCTTTTAAGGCCATGAACTGTCTTACTTTTTGTGCATCCCCCTTACCAACTCCCACATCTCGATATCAATTCAATGCTCTGCACACATAAAGTCTCCACACAATGGCAAACTACTGTAGATTAATAGGCTATGGTTAAAAGAAAAGTCAGATCCTGGAAAAATAATGAAATGTGAAACAACAAAGATGTTGTGGGTGCCTAAGATAATCTCAATGTCTGTAATAAAAGTGTCAAAGACTAAAATGTCACAGGGTGGGACAAGGACATTGAATAACTTTACTAGAAAGGGGGCAAAATGAACAAAATAAAGCAGAAACAAGGCTGCTTTCTCAGTTTAGTTTACATTTCCAGAGGAATACAAGAAGCCAAATACCTATTTTTTTTTTTTACATTATTACTTCTTTCTTTAAAAATACTATTTCGGGACCAGCAGTTAGTGTAATGGCTATGTCGCTGGACTCCCATGTAGTCGACCGCGGTTCGCGTCCCGGACCCGGTGGCGCGTGAGCGTGCATGCCCAAGATTCCGAGAGGAGAATGGAGGAGAAGGGATTGCGGCGTGACCATCCCCCCTGGAGGGTGATTTCTCGCTTTCTGTCTCTCTGTCTCTCTCTGTCTGTCTGGCGAGTGCACGCGCCTTATACCAAAAAGCTCTCAAAAAAAAAAAAATACTATTTCTTTGGGGCCAACAGGTGGCACGGCAGTTAAGGGCACTGGACTCCCACATGGCAAACGCAGTTCAAGTCCAGAATCTGGCAACTTGCTCTCTCTCTCTCCCCTCTCTCACTCATACACACACACACAGACACACACACACTCATTCTCATTCTGTCCCTCCGTGGTCAAAATTAAATAAATAGTTAAATAAAATTATTTAAAAAAAAAAAGAAAACAAAATACCATTTCTTCAATAATGGTGGTCTTTCTAACCTTAGTTTCCAAAATATAAAGCAGTGTTATCAGTAAGGACCCCAGTCAATGTGACTTCCAACACTGGGCACAGACAGAGCTCTTTGTACTCTCAATTAATGAGATAACATAGGCCATGGATGACCAGGGTAGTCTCCCCAGAAGGGTACAAGAAAGTGACCCGAGTCACCTAATCTCCCCTCCTCTACCCCATTTGGGAAGGTAAAACCTAAGTGAGGTAAATACACGAGGTATTAAGAAGTGAGTTTGGAGACCGCCCCAGATTAACGTGACCTTCTCGCCACACCTGATAGTAAGGACTGACCGCACCAAACACCCCTTCCAGAAGGGAACGACCGGAAGCCAGTGTATGACTTACCTGGTTTTTCCGTCTTCTGGTTGAAGCTCCGGAGCTACCCAGACTGTGGCAGCGATAAACCCTCGCACGGAGTCTCCAAGCTCACACACTAGGAGTCACAGTAGTGGAGGCGGCTGTGGCGGAAGGCGGCGGCGGCAGCGGCGGCGGCGGCGACAGAAACTCCTCCCTGCGCGTCTCTTTTCCCACCCCTTGCCGCCAAGGCGGGCTTCACCCCTCCCTGAACTATCCCTACTTCCGGATGATGCCCTGGCCGGAAGGAGGGGCGACTCAGGAAACAGCGACGCGTCACGTGAAAGAGAACGCGGAAACTAGTGTCAAGCTTCTCCCGCCCCCTGCTGGCCCTGAGTTGATATGCAGCATGCGGCGGGTCTCCGTTTGGCGCTGCAGTCGCCTTCTCCCCTTCTCAAGGCCAAAAAACTGTTTTTGTCCTCTAGTTTTCTTGACCCGGGCCAAGAAGTACTCACCGTAAAAGCTGCTTGTAAATCACCTTCTACGTAGTTCTTCTTTGCCCAGCACGAAATCACCATGCTTCTATCTAGCCTGACTTCAGATATGTGTAAATACCAGAACTATGAACTTGCCCTCATCCTTCCATGGAAAAACAACACCGTGGGGGGGAATGTTTAAAAATTCATACTCTTCATAAGTGAAGGGGAGGTCGGAACAGAATATCTCCTAACTGCCTTCACATTGGAATTTTTAAAGCCCGAAACACTTTTTCATTTTTTCATTCATTCACCAATATTTTTTGAATATTTTAATATAATCCATCACTGTATATCATTACAGCTTGCAAAATGAATTTTCCCAGCATGAATACACTGTATATTAGTACAGTTAAAGACATTTTCATACACATTATTTAGTTTTATTTGTTAGCTTTTTAAAATTTGCTATAGGGCACATGTGCTAGAAAGAGAAAGTGAGAAATCAAGCTGCCAGGTCCCAAACTGGAACCACGGTTAGCATGTGAAAGTCCAGCACCTTCACCACCACGCCAACTGCTGGTCCTCACTCACCTATAATTTTAAAAACCTGGAAGATTGGGGCCGGCATGTAGTATAGTGGTTAAGGATGCTGGACTCCCACATGGCCAACTGCACTTCGAGTCCTGGACCAGGCAGCTTGCTTTCTGCCCTCTCGCTTGCTCGCTCGCTCGTTTATTCAGTCTGTCCCTCTTTGATCAAATTAAAATTTAAACTTTCCAGCCCAATACCAAGCAAAGCCAGAATCCATGTGTATCTGTGGTGGGCACACCCCTGCCCCTTTAAATGGGAAAGCTGCCCCACAACTCTCCTTCCACTCAACACCAAGCAAGATAGGAGTGTCTCTGTCTTCTTCCTGTCTCTGTCTCTGTGTCTCTTTCTCCCTCTCCTATATTTTCTTGAAATTTTTCCTTTTATATATATGGCTTTTTTTTTTTTTTTGGAGAGGTTTTTGCTATAGGGCGCATGCACTCGCCACACAGAGAGAGACAGACAGAAAGTGAGAAAGCACCCCACAGGGGGAATGGCCACGCCACAATCCCTTCTCCTCCATTCTCCTCTCAGGATCTTGGGCACTCACGCACACGTGCCCGGCGTGAGTTTAAGCCACCGGGTCTGCGATGCAAACCGCGGTCGACTACATGGGAGTCCAGCAACATAGTCATTACACTAACTGCTGGTTCCTATATATATAGCTTTTAAAAATCTGTAAGTACAGTCTCTTGTCTCTGACCTCTCCTTTCTCTTGCTAATTTCAGAATCCGTGTACATCTGAGGTGGGCCCAACCCTGTCCCATTTGTGCAGCACGCTAGCATGCCACACGGTTTTCATTTTTCGGCATTTTTTTCAAAGAAATTTTTTTTTTCTCTACTTCCTGTTATTGGTAGTTCTGAACGTTAGATTTTTTTTCCCCCATGGGGTCCAAAGGTACCTAAGTATATGATTGAGAGTGGAAAATAGGGGACAGAAATCAGGTATTGGTAGTTATTTTCAAACAAGTAAATTTCTTATTGACGGCAAAGAAAAAAAAATCGAATTCTTATGGGGCTTTCTGCAAATAACAGATCAAATTAAGATTAATCTAATTTTTCTTGGAA